AACAAGGGAAACAGTTCTCCTGCGTTTATTTTGCAGACAACCAAACAGGTGCAAAGTATTCAGAATGCACTACATTTACTTTACATTACATTTACTTTACACTGCATTTCTTTTTCAGGCAACCAAACAACCCCTAAATAAACACTCCCCTCATGTCTATAAGATACACTTGAACAATGCATTTTATGACATTCGGCAATATTCCTTCCGTCAGGTTCGGTCGACTACCCCTCTACCTAAGTGAACCTGGGACTGTGATGACCTAGGACGACGAAACCATAGAATCTCGACCAGGTTCATCATCATTCCCCCACTATCTGCTTTAAATACAAAGTTGTGAATTTCTATTTTAAATATTAAAATTTGAAATATCAAATCATACTGCTACAATATGTCAGATACATGTTTCGTATCTGATTTACAACTAGCCTTAATCGAAAGTTTTCTCTCGTCATTGGAAGGGCTAATTAACTGTAGGAGCTTGTGCCTATAAGAAACCTGAACATATATCATAAAGTACTCATAAAATGAGGGTGAAATCTCTGGGTAGTGTCTTATTTCACAATCCAATCTATCTTTTGAAAATTTACCTTGAAACCTAACTCGTTAAACTTCTCCAAAAAAAGGGAGGCTGAGGCATGAATTTTCGGAGCCAACACCATATCACCTTACATATATCATATTTTAATTATTTAGAACACAAACATCCACAATTTAAGTTTGATTGATAATTATGTTAACTAAATTTAAGTTGGAATATGATCCTCTGTTAGCAATTAGACAGATGATCGGGCCCCAACGAGCGTGTTATAAGTACACACAAGATGATTGTGGATGTTGTATGGGTCAAAATGATAAATTTAAGTTTGAACATGATCCTCTGTTAGCAATTAGACAGGGTCGACAAAATTTAATAGATAATTACAAAAATACCCCCAAAATACCCGCATGGGCCTCGACGAGCATGTTGTATTTACACGCATGACATATGAGGATGCATCACAGGTTAAGAAATGAACTTAAGTTCAAGTCCAACTCTTCTCCTTGATAAGACGAGAGTTAACACGACTTGAATCAATGAACAAATATACGGTCTCGGCATCGACCATGATATTTAGTTTTATACGTTACTATTAGACCTTCAAGACCTATAATCAAGAGATATCACTGATAATAACATAAAGCCTACTACGAATTTGATCCTACATCAGCAAGTAGATATAATCAACGAGGTTCAACCCATTAAATGAAATTGCTCAATAATATCCCAATGATAATCGTGTTGAATATATATCTAAACCGTAGGGTTTAATTCCAAGTATTCGAAATACCTCCTAAAGACCCATGAAAATCCAAAAGACATAAAGCCTGCGAAGAACCCAATCCTCCGTCAGCAGGTAGATAGAGTCGACAAGGTTCAACCGATAAAAATATAAATTTTTCATAATCACGACGATGATAATCGTGTTGAATGTAGATCTCAACCGGAGAGAATAATTCCAAATATTTCAAATGCCTCCAAAAGCTCATAAAAACTACCAAAATCCAAAATTTACAAAATTCAAAAAATAAATAAAATTGATATCAATCATTAAACATTTAAAGTAAAACTCATCCACACTCTGTAAGAGTTTGTCGAGATAGACGAATTTAAATATCACTTCAGCTCACAAAGAACTAATGTATGGTCGAGAATATCAGTAGTATTCATTCTCAAACAATCTATTGCCAGCAAAGACATGACACATGTCCTCTAACCGATAATTTTGCCGTCAAATAGGCACCACTAAATTACGATCATGGTCAGAGCCCGTATGCTCCATAGTGACATTAAATCATTGAGATACGAATCAATAAGATATGATCCATAGGGCACAAAGTCCTCTGTTAACTAAGGTGAATTCAAATTTGCCCCCTTAGATAAATACTCCCCTCATGTCTACAAGGTACACTTGGATGACACAACACATGGCTGCCGACAAGATTCTTTCTATCATGTTGGGTCGACTACCTCCTCTGACTAAGTAGACCAAGGACCGTGATAACACGGGACGACGGAACCATGGGATCTTGATCGAGCTCATCATCATTCCCCTGTCATCTGCTTTAAGTACAAAGTGATGAATTTCTATTTTAAGTATTAAATTTTCAAATACCAAATCATGTTGCTATTATATACCAGATACATGCTACGTATTTGATTTACGACTAGCCTTAATCAAAAGTTCTCTCTCGTTACCGGAAGGAGTAATTAACTATAAGGGGCTTACACCTATAGGAAACTTGAACTCATATCATAAAGTCCTCACAAAATAAGGGCGAAATCTCTGGGTAGTCTTATTTCACAATCCAATATGCATTCTGAAAATTTACCTCAAAACCCAAACTCTTTAAAACTCCCCCGAAAAAGGATAGGCCAGGGCACAAATTTTCTGAGCCCACACCATATCACCTTATATATCATATTTTAATTCTTTAGAATAGAAACATCCACATATGTTCCATTGATAACTCTTTTATGATTATAATTGAGGAGGCATGAATAAATCTTTAATAACTTTTTAAACCTCATGTGAAATAATAATAATAAATGATACCTTGAAATAGAGCATATATAGACTATCATGCAGTACATCTCTTATCGTCTTTTACAAACTGGGATCACTTGAATAGGCAACTTTAATTGATAAGCTCACTAAAGTTTCCAACCCAATACAGATATACATACTTATAGCCTTATTTGAATGTAGAACATATAGAATAATTTCTTTCATCGTTATTTTTATGTTGACGCATTTGTCATCAACCGAAGCTTTGATCCTTATTTTGGTGATAATTATTGGTCCTCTAACCCCTATTAATTACTGCTGCCATCATTATTATTGTTATAGTCATCATCTTCAAATGAGGAAGGGGTTTCATTCATCTTTTACCCTGTAGGAATGTTCTTAACTACAGACTACAGCAACTCCCAAATCAGTTATGATATACAGATCTGAATAAATGCATTGATTTGGAGTAGGGGTGCAAATGAGTCGAGTCGAGCTCAAGTCAGAGGGTGTTCGAGTAGAGCTCGACTACCAAATACCAAATTCGAGCTCGAGCTCAAACTCGAGTCGCGACTCGTCTCACGAAACGAGTTGATTCGAGCTCCTTCCCGACCTCCGCCGTCGAGCATCATCCCGAGCTATATCGAAGCCGCGAGCTACGTCGTTTAGTCCTTCGTCATCGAGTCGTTCTTCGAGCTCCGTCGTTCGCCGTCCCGTCGAGCTCGATCAAAGTCACGAACTCGTTGTCTCGACCATGCTAGCCCCGCTAACAGCTCACGAGCTCCGATCCTCCGGCCTCCATCGTCAACGAGCTCCGTCGTCCCGTCAAACACCGTTGTTTTGATTTTCCCGCTTGACCAACGAGTCGTCCTATCGCCCGCCCAAACCAAAGGTTAGATTTTCCCGCGCGGTCACCTCTGCGAACTGACGATTCAAGCAAACGTCTGTTCGAACTCGAGCTCGATAAGCAGGAATGACGAAATCGTGTTCGAGCTCGACTCGTCGAGCCTGTTATCAAGTCGAGCCGGCTTGACTCGGTTACACCCCTAATTTAGAGTCATTAAGAGGTTTTAGCTAAAGGGGACAAAAGCTTCGTTTGTGATGACTTTCATACTACTTCTTAAAGCATCTTTTTCGTACAAAAATTAAAAAGAAAAATTATACTAAAAACTACTTTAAGAAGCAATAAAAAAACTATCCCAAATAAAACTTAAGCTCGGACTTTCTTTGCTGTACCAATCAAGAAGTAAACATCTGACAATCATGTGATAATAAATGCAATGATGCATAACACTTAAGAAAGTCTGCTAAAATCATGTATAACTCTTGATAAAGTCTGCTACAAGCCTATTTTAATTTCAATTTCCAACCAATACGGCCAAACCTTTCATCATTGTCCTCTTCTCGTTAACATAATACCCCTTGCAGTTGAACATGAATAGCTTGAATTTAGTCTAGATTTGTTCTGAATATAGAGTTACCTGATATTTCTGAAAAGAATGTAACAGTAACTAGCAAATGCATAGAAGTAATCCTTAATCCTCCCTCTAAGGACAGTTAAAGCTACCATGTTGCAAATACTCCCCCATCCCTTTGTTTTTCCATTCTATAGCCTAACTGATATTTTATAAATTCAAAATCAAGTCAAAGTAATAAAATATTCTAAAAAGCATAAGACCAAATTCAATAATAAATAAAGATGAAATATGCGGCCTAACTAATAGGGGTGTCAATTCGGGTCGACGGGTCGGGTTCGGGTCGAATCCGAGTTGATTCGGATCTAAACGGGTCAATCCGAACCCGACCTGGTTTTGCAAACGGGTCGGACATTTCAACCCGGACCCGACCCGCGTGGGTTGCTGGGTTGACCCGACCCGACCCGCACGGCAGAAGGCGGAGTCCCGAGCGCGACTGCGAACGGAGTCCAAGGACCGCGCGATGACGTGAGTGCGGATGGAGTCCGCAGGAGGCGGGACCGCGCGACAGAGCGACGACGCAACCGCGGGAGTTCAGGGCGCGGGCTGACCGACTGAGTCGTGCGCGACAACAGGCGAAGTTCGCACGCGAGTGCGGGACCACGCGAGCGCAGCAGCCGGAGCCTGGAAACGTCGCGAGTGCAGGCAGAAACTCGGTTGGACTAGACTTTCGGGTCAGTGTCGGGTTGATTTTGGATTCTTGGGTCAACCCGCCCCCGACCCGTTTTTAAAACGGGTCAAAAATTTGAACTCGAACTGACCCGTTTGCTAAACGGGTCAACCCAAACCCGGATTTTTCCGGGTCGAGTTAGAAATTGACACCCCTACTAACTAATAGTAAAAAAATTAAAGGATAACTAGTAATATGATAAGCTGGTGTTTACTTCATGTTGAAGTTCAATTCCGAACATAAATGGAGATCAAGTGTATATGTTTACTTCATGTTGAAATATGAATTGTATTGTGAAGCTATCAGTGGAAAGAACTTTATCAAACATATCATAAACTTGTAATAGATTGGAAGTTGAAAAGTATTTACAGTGAATAGAAACACAGTAGATAAACAGTGAATCAAAATAGATTTACAGTAACCTAAACAAATTACTCGATGCTTATTACAGTGAATAGAAACAACGAGTTGTCAGTAACCTTCAAGCTCTTGATGTGGAAGAAAGACAAAGTGACTTAAAGAACTGGATTTGGACATCTTGGAATCTGTATTTGAATATATTGATCTCTGCATGATTTTAATATGAATCTGATGATGGATCTACAGATCTGACCTGAAGATCAAGATCAAAATATGGAAGGATGATCAACGCTATCAATAGAGGAATAAAGAAAACGTAGGGACTAAATCAACTTTGGAAACTGCTCTATTAATTATTTTCCCTCACCTGGGAACCAGAGTGCCTGCACTAATGAGGTGCATTGATATCTATCAAATAGAACATGTGACAGAAGGAATAATCAAGTTTGATGAGCCCTCGAATGCGATCAAAATTCTGGAAAATCCTACAGACAAAGTGTGCTCCCACTCCAAAAACAAATTAACATAAACTTTTTTCTCACTGAAACAGCAATGCTCCGCTTAAAAAAAAAAATGGCTTGTACCAATGGGAAGCTGAACTGATTGCAGCTTAGGAGATTCAGGCGTGGTGCACTGTTCCATCCTCTTTTACTGTTGGGCATGACAAATCGGAAAATTATTAGGTCCGGACATCGGACTTAGAGATACGTTCGGACTCCAATAAAATATTGACATGTGAAATGTACATGTGTCCGCAGAATTTTAAGCCAAGCGCGCCAAAAGCGCAGGTAAAATGCAGGTAAAGTGCAGATAAAACGCAGTCAAAAAGCACAGTCAAAGTGCATCCATATCTGGACTTATATCTAGGACCGATGTCCGGACCTGATAATTTTCCTGACAAATCTGGCAATTTCAACTGTAAAATCATGCACTCCTGGTCTTTAGAGGTATTCGGTGACTCATAATCGTTATATTGGACAAATCACCTTAGAGGACTAACAACCCAACCAGTGACACGACTTTGCTTGCGCACCCCAACAGCTCTATGTGAAGAGCAATTTAATCGCTCTAGTATCGTGTATGTTATTGAATCAGGAGTTAGTCCCTGTTCTTTCAGAGTTGCATAAAATTCAAAAGCTTCTGCCACCTTCCCATTTCTCTCCAAAAGATCAAGCAAGATGTTGTAGGTCACAATGTTTGGGTGGCACCCCACAGCTAGCATTTCATCAAATAACCTAAAAGCCATCTCAACTTTATTTGTTTTACCAAAACATTCAATCAAGGTGCTGTACGTGACAACGTCAGGATTCAAGCCCCTCTTTTGCATTTCCTCAAACCTAATATGAGCTTCATCAAGGTCACCATTTTTCCCAAGACAGTTGATCAAAGAATTATAACTAATGACATCAGGTTTGCAAACACTAGATTCCATTTCCTCAAAAAGCTCCAACGCCTTCTCGACCAGGCCAACTTTCCCAAAACTTGAAAGAAGAATATTGTATGTAAATATGTCAGGAGAAGGCCCGCTATCCCTCATTTGTTCGTACAGAGCTTGAATATATGATACTTGCTTCAATTTACCAAGAGCTGAAAAAACTATATTGTACATCATAGTGTCTGTAGATATTCCTTTCTCATGAATCTTATTTAACAGATCTATTGCCTCCAATGTCTTCCCTGCATTGCACAGAGTTTCCAACATGGACACAAAAGCATCTCTATCTCCTTCATCATGTAAGTTCCACATGCTACAAAACAAACTATGGGCTTCACTTGCATGACCTGACTGACTTAATGCCTTAACTAAAAAGGAATAAATTGATTTATTCATGTATTTATTTGACACTTCTACAACTTCATTCAATCGATGTAGTTGGCCTTCTGCTGCTAACATTTCTAAGAGAATACTGTAAGTAAACTCATTAGGCCGACAATCCCTTCTAATTATCCTTGTGAAAAGAAGTATAGCTTTGTCGACCATTCTATTTCTTGCAAGAGCCTCAAGCATTGTGTTATATGCAATAAGATTTAATGAATATCCCTTTCCTAGCATCTCATCAAAGAATGAGAGAAAATCATTTGTCCTTCCTGTCTTACCAGACATTCTAATGAGAATTGTATAAGTGTACTGATCTGGTTCGCAGTGTTTCTGCTTCATGTCTCCAAAAACTCTATAGCATAGATCAACCTGCTGAAGAATCAAGTTACCCAAAAAAAAAATTAAGAACCCGTTAAGACTTAGAGATGAAAGTGTAGGAAGCTCAGTTAATGGAAAATAGGCTTAAAGACATTTATTAAAATCAGAACTAAAAAGTTTTAAAGTGCGGTGCGGGCAAGAAGACTAGTACAACTTTATTCCAATAGTTTATGCCCAGCATGAACACCATCATTGACTGCATATAGAAAATATTTAAACTAAAATTAAAAATTATACAGCAGCAAAAAGCCTCCTAGAATTTCACTAATTATTCTCTGAAAGAAAAGTCTAGACACTACCCCATGAAAATAATTTGCTAAACCTCGTATTCAATGTCAATGAACTGCTGGAGCATTGTAAATTAAAAAGAAAAAATCAATTCTGAAGTAAAATTATTTATCCAAATCAGAAACAGGTTAACAAACCAATCTAAAAATCAGAAGGAAAAATAATCTTTTAACAACCATCCAACAATATAAACGTTCTACTAGACTTCCGATGCAATTTAGAGATTTATACAAGTTTTTAAAACTTGGTTACGGTTTCAGTCACACAATTTTTTTTTTTTTTTTTTTTGATAATTTTGTTAGTTTCTTCATTTTTATGTCCAATTTCAGTTATGGTTTCAAGTTTCAACAACTTTTTAATTATAAAATTGCTCAAAAGTATTAGTGAAGTTTTCCTCAAAAAATCAACCAGTTTCTAAGCATCCTCCTAAATTTTATTGGAACGATTTTGTTTTGGCCAAAACTTTGAAACTAAAAATATTAATAAGTTCCAGACCAACTTTAACCAAAAAATGATCTAAAATCTTCAAAACCACTAAAACATATAACCATTATTTTTTACTAGTATACCATCCTAAGCTTGTAATTTTATAAGTATATCATCCTAATTTTGAATTTTATGGTTATATCAACTTCATGTATATCTTCTTACTGATAGGTAACTCAATTTTCACTATCGTAATTTAACCTTGTAAGTTAACTAATTATAAATGTAAACCCCAGCACAAGCTCAAAGACCTGTTCACCTTTTGTCTCAAACACAATAAATAATTTAATTTAAGTAGATTTTTGGTCGGAAGCTCCAGTTGAGCCACCAACCCGAATCAATTGCATTTAAGAGATGTACTTTATATTTGAGAATTCAACCCAACCAATGCTATGAAAGGATTGTTTCAGTAATTACAATTAATTTAAGTATTATCTTCAAAAAATTGATTGAATAATCTTAATTTGAGTAACTAAATGGAAAAGAAAAATAAAGAAAACAAAATACATTTTTTCTATGATTTAGCTAAGTCGGTCTATGTCCACACTCAAATTAAGGTTACATTCACTCACTAGCTATTAAACCTATGTATAAGATAGTAGTATTAAATATTTGAGTAGTATAACAATTAAAATTCCAATAAAAATAAAAATAAAAGATTCTTTCGATTATAGTATCAACAATTGACTTTGGGCAAATTTTTTTACCAGAAGCTTACGTTGACCCATCCAGCCCACCATGATTGTACCTATGTGCCATGATTGACATTTGAGGATTCAGCTCAAACTATGTTATAAAGATAACTTGAGAATTGTTCCTGAACAAATTGAACAGACTGTTCATTTTAGCTTAATACCAATTAAACTAGCAAGCCTCGAGGTAAGAGTTAATAGATTGGGATGGAATACATACAACATTAACAACCTGTGTAGTAGACCAGCAATTTCAAAACGTTTGGAGTGGCAAAACAATTAAAATTCCTATAAAGTAAAATATTCTTTCATTAATAATTTTGCTAGCATTTGCTGCTTGAATCCCAAATAAAATTACGGGAAAAAGGTATAAGGTAGCTTTAAAAAAAAGGAACATACTGAAAATCACCTTGTCAGCTTTCGCCAATGCGTCCAAGAGCATATTATAAGCAAATATATCCAACTTATAGCCTCTCCTGCTCATCTCCTCATAAACCCTAAACGCGCGTTCCACATCCCGAGACCTCAAATAAGCCTGCATCAAACACTTGTAAGTGTATCCATTGAACCTCAAATCCCACTTCTTGGCAAGCTCCAAACACCTATCATATTCCGTACCCCCCATGGCCCCAATCAATATATTCACCGTCGAGATATTCCCTTTAACCCCCTCCTTCTCCATTTCCTCCACAATCCCACCAATTATCTCTTGTTCAGCGTTCGAACGGGCAAGAATAGCAAGGATGCGATTATAGGCGAAACAGTCATGGCGATATCCAGGGAGGGTCTTAACGAAGCGGAAGAACTCGAGGGCCTTTCGAGGTAGGCGTAGGGATTTGAGAATCTCGCTGACTTCCGATGGGGTTAGCGTTAGGGTTAGGGTTTGGAGATAGTCGGCGACGTCGAGGAGGGGATCGGTGGAAGGGGATGACGCATTGCGGAGTAGGTTGCAGATGTGGCAGATGAGGTCTCGACGGGGAATGGGGTAGCCGTAGGAGTCTAAAGAGAGGTTTGAGGGGTCAAGCTCGACCATGATTTGACGGCCGGAGGAGTCGGCCCGGACCACACGGGCCGTGTAGCTTGTGGCGAGGAAACGGAGGGAAGAGAGCATGGGCGGGAATGCGGGAGAGGCGGCCATGGCACGTAGAGCGACCTGCGCCATGGATTGTTCAACAGTTCAACTCGCACTTTCGCGCTCAGATGCTGGCAGGCTGAAGCGAGGGCAAATTATTGCATCCGGTCACCGGAGACGCAGGTTTAGACACCCAATAAAAAAATGCTAGGTAGTCTGTATTTTTTTACTGTACTTTGACTGTGTTTTAGATGTGCTTTAACTGTTCTTTTGACTGTGCTTTTAACTGCACTTTAATTATACTTTATTCATGCTTTTGACGTGCTTAATTTAAAATAATATTTTATTAATATATGGACCTATCTCCGCATCCGGTGACCGAATGCAATAATTTGCGAGAGCTCATTACATGTTCACTAGTAAAACGCACGCTTCATCTACGGAGTAGAATGGTACAAATATTGAAAATTTCTATGTTTTTTTAAGCAATTTACATACCTATCATTTTATTTTATGCTATTTACATATATAATATTTAAACTTTTAATATTATATGTCTAATTATCCATTACCTATAAAATAATATGAATGCATGAAATGAAATATTAAAATTTAAAAAATTATATGGATGATAAGAATAAAATATATGAGTGATCTATTTAATATTAAAATTTTATATGAGTTGTAAAAAATGTAATATTAAAATTTTAGATATTAGATATATAAATAGTATAAAATAAAATGATATGTATTTAAATCCCCATTTTTATTTTTTATTTTTTAACTGAAAATACTGAAAATTTTATGTGGAACTTCATAGAAGATTGTTTGGGGTCATACGTATTTTGACTAAGAATTTGTTCAAGTAATTAATTTTTTGTATTTTTTTTTAAATGTAAATTCAAAATTATATGATTACCAACTATTTGCTAAACATTATTAAAAAAAAATCAAATCATATTTTTTTACTTATGTCATAATTTATTAATTTGACCGCAGTGCTTAGATATAAAATTCACTCTTAATACATAATTATTTCTTAGAAAGATGAAGAATAAGTGGATAAGTCATTAAACATTTTCATATAAAAGTGATGAACATTAATCTCATTCATCATTTAAATCAATCATGCCATGTTTGAGAATCATTTTTCTTTCACAAAAAGATTTAACTTTATTTCAATAGAAAAATATTTTTCTTATATTTTTTTTACAAAAAAGCTAATAATAAATTCATCAAATACACTTCAAAGTTCTTCATGAGATATTAAAATATTTCATTTACCCTGCTTTCTTTGGAGTTAAGAGTGGACAGTTGTTGTTGTAGGGAGTCATATTTATTTTTCTTCTTAGATGAGTATAAAATAGAGGATTATGTTATTTAATTGAGAGGACTTGTAAAATCTAAAGATAACTCGGCATGCATTGAATGAACCTTAACTCTTGCAATTCTTCGCCAAAGGCAACTAAAAAAGGCATTGGCCACTAGATTTAGTTACCCATCCTCCAAATACTAAGGCTTCGTTTGGGATGGCTTTCTTTCTGCTTCTTAAAGCAGTTTTTTAGTATATAAATTTAATTTTTTTGAACTAGAAAGTTACTTTAAGAAGAAGAAAAAAATCGTCCCAAACGAAAAATAAGATGTCATTTGGGACAACTTTATTAATACTTTCTAAAAGGTGTTTTTTAATACATAAATTTTTGAATTATAAATATTTGTAAAAAAAAAAATGCTTTTGAAACCATTAAGAAAATTATCACAAAAGAAGCATAAAAAAATAGAAGCAAAAGATGACCCAATCAATATTGGCTGACAGCACGGCTAATAATGATGGCAAATTGTGATGCCAAAAGAAGGCATCTTCTAACAAAGGGCAAATTATTGCGTATGGTGTCCGGATTCATCCGGTGTCCGGACACCAATCCGATGTTGCCACGTCACCAAAATGCACCAGGGCCCAGTGTATTTTGGTGATGTGGCGTCACTGGATTGGATGTCCAGATATCCGGCGACCGGACGCAATAATTCGCCCGAACAAAGAGACAAGGTTTGGTTTGGCAGTCAATTTGAATTATAAATATTTCAAAGACAGTTTATAAATCTTTGGTATGTATGAACATCAAACACAGTTTATCATTCAGAGACAAATCAGATGCAACCACGTCATCCAATACCGAGCACTACCGAGTTACGGTACCAAGTAGGGGGTGACGTGACGCATTTTCATTTGGCTTCGAACAGCATTCAGCGTTTAGCGCCCACACATAATAATTCATCCATTCGAGGAGGCTAAAGACCCAACCACATCAGGTTACATTAGGCATCACCAAAGTAGATGGAGAGGAGACCGCAAACCCAAAAACGACGACGAACCCTCAATCAAACATGTGATATTATTAAGGTTTCGTTAGTGACAACTTTTTATTGCTTTTAAAACAACTTTTTAGTGCAAAATTTTTTTGAACTAGAAATTTTAGTATAAAAAACTGATTTAAAAAACAATTAAAAAAAGAACTGTCCCAAACGAAACCTAAGTACAACCTAAAAGTCAAGAACTTAGGTTATCTGCAAAATATTGAGTTATAAAACTTGCACATGAGAATACAATAGCATAAGATGGCTGCAGTTCTTAATTTAAAAATGGAAATTAGACCGCATAAATTAAAGGCAAATTCAAATGAACTTCATGTGTAAATCAAGTAATAGATATTTCATATACTCATTAGAGGTTGCAGACCAAGAGCAGGTATATATATACACACTGTTACATTCCATAAAATTGCAGTGTAAACTTGTAAATTGCATTAAAAGAGCAATGATGTCACTGAAACAACAAAACTATTTTTCATCAGCAATTAAAATGAGAAAAAAAAAATACAAGCTTAAAGATGTAAGCAACATAAATGTTTGATTATTGTGGCCTGCAAATGACAAATATTAACATAATATTTTCATTATTTTTCAGATATATACTTCCATCATCATATCGGTAACTTTATCCCAACTATTTTGATTTGGCTTTATCAATCATTCTTATTGAGAGGTGACCGAGGTATTTAACATATTCTTTCTAAATCAATTTGAACAACTTCTATTCATATAATATTGCATCTATCTTTACTAATTTTAAATCTTCTAACACTGATTTTGACTTCGTTTGGGACGGCTTTTTTGTTGTTTCTTAAAGTAGCTTTTTAAAATAAAAATTAAAATTCTTATACTAAAAATCTGCTTTACGAATCATCAAGAAAGTCATCCCAAAGAAAAACTTTATCTAATCATACGATGAACATATTTTCTACACTTCATATTATCTATCCAAACAACCAAGTCTATTTTCAATCATTATATATTTAACATATGTAATTTCAATCATTTTTCTAATATAATCATTTATTATTTTATCCTGGTAATTTTGCCGCACATTATTCTAATTGGTGAGGCATTGTATATTTAATAGATGTCTCACCAAGTAGAAATATATCAATAGTAAAAAAATACACAACACCTCACCTTTGGATATCCACTATAAGCAATTCTATAACTAACAAAATATTAATCCTAGATGTAAACAAACAACTGTTGAAAATACTGAGGTCACTCCACAACTACTAAACTCTACTTCAACTTCTATAGCAATCACATCAGGTTTAGCTAAACTAAAAAAAATTCTAATTTTCTTCCCTAAGCAACATACATTGAGAACACTTTTCCAATTTCACTATTGCTTACTAGGGCAATAGATTGATTGCTTCCTAATACTCTTAAAACATTTATGCACAACTAAAACCCTATATTGTGCAGTCAAACTTTCAATTTTTACTATAAGATTTTTTTTTTTGTTTTTTCTAAGGCATTGCTTGGTCGCACGCATTAGGAGTGCATTGCATTCCATTTTCCTTGCATTGTAAGTTTACTGGAATTTAGTTTGCAGCCAAAATAATACAAAATAAAGGGGATTTGATTTGAAATACCACAGAAACCTCTATTTTCCCTGCATTTTAAAAGCACATAAATCTAGCAATTTCTAAATCCTTTTATTCGGTGACTCATCATCATCTCTAATAAATATATTTTTACTCGTGTATTCATTGAAGTATTTCATCAGTCTTTTCTCAATTTATTTTTTTTAATTATCTTCCAATCCTACTTGAGAAGGAAAAATACTAATAACAGCTCATTGATAATTATCTTAATAAATTCAATCTGTTTATAATTCTATTCACCTCAACAATTTACTTTTCAATTATGCATTCCCAAGTAACCTAACACATTACTATTATTAACGTTACCAACATACATCTTACAATCTTCTTCACTATCTTTATTTTTTTATCATTTTTGTTTAATTTATATAAATAAATAGTATTTATTCTTCTTTCAATCATTATGCCCATCAATCTCTTTTCTTCCCATTCGTAGTCCTCAAATTACATGTGGCTAAGTTAATCTTATACATAGAATTACTAAATGCTAACTTATGTTACGTTGTAGTGAGCAATTTGAATCGAGTTAGCTCAATTTGAAATGATTTCGATTTCAAGTCGATTTAGAATCAACATTTTGATTTCAAACTAAGTCCTTCGCACTAACTTGACTAGATGTCCATCCTAATGACGTCCTAGTCCACCCTTGCCTACTATTCATCACAATTAGGTTAAGTTGTCATACATCACTTTGAGAGCAACATCCAAATAGACCTTTGCCTAATCTCACCCCGATCGAATTATATTGTGATGCAAAATTTTAATTCAACTCAAAATTGAATCATTTTAAATGGATTCAACTTAACTCAAAATAATTTAGGTTTCATTTGGGATGGCTTTCTTACTGCTTCTTAAAGCAACTTTCAAGTATAAAAATTAAAATTTTTGTGTTAAAAAGTTGCTTTAAGAAGCCGTAAGAAAGCCGACCCAAACGAAGCCTTAGATTACAGGTTGAGATGGAATCATAATTTTGATTTTAAGTTACATCAAACTCGCTCAAACTTGACTCAATATCAGTCCTAGTGACGTCGCAGCACACTCGTCTGCTCTAACCAAAATCAAATTAAGTTGTAACTTGCCAATTTCAGGGAACGAGCTATCACTAGAAAAATTTAAATTTTGATTCATTCATTACTTTTGAAGTGTGTTTTATGATTGGT